AGTTTTGACATTATGTTTTGGCCAAAAACTTACCATTTTTAAAATCCATTCATGGTGGAGAGGTACATGCAGGACATCGTATGGCAAAATAGTATTTTTTTCATATTTATCACTGCTCTATCATCATTATAAACTCAAAAGACACATGCAAGTTCACTGGTGGTTATGAATAGTAAATAAGATGTCTATATTTGTGTTGTAGATATTGTGACTCCTGGTTCCTATCACCACCACTGTAAAGACATCTGAGTTTCTCTACAATGAACCATTTCACACCAAACTACTCTGAATAATTTTCTGTACACTGCAACAATTGCATTATACAGAACTTTAGAAAAATTGGTGGAATTCCCCTTTAAACCTTTTAAAGCGTTTTGCGTACATAGGACTGATTATTACCAAAACAATAGAAATATATATGACATTTTTAATCACTTTAAACCAATCAGAACAATTTTATTTTTACATTACACACTAATGTCTGGACACTTTAATGCACAATTACTTGTTGAATTTTAACAAATTAATTAGAATTTAACATAAAATGTAGCCTGTGCAAAAGTTATGGTACAATGAATACTGTATCTTTTTCTGCAAAGGTCATTGAGCCCTCACTTCTCCTTCACATACCATACCTGTTACAGCTGAGCACTATTCTTTTATTATTAATGGTTCATCAACAGGCAGTTTTATGGGCAGTTCTTCTTATTTCACCTTTAAATGGACTCTTGCACTGAGATTAGGGAGTGACCGCTGGAGAAGTAAGAAGCAGGAGGTAGGGAGAGGAAGCTCATGGCAGTGCCAGTCTCAGGAGTGATTAATAATAAATAAAGCAGGGGTGGAGAGTAGAGGATGACGACAGGCCCACCTTAGGAATCTGATGATAGGCAAAGCTGAAATTTCTTTTTCCACACACCCACATAAGAAGCATCCCTCCCTTTCTCTCCCCTTGCTTACTTACATACACTGAGACACAGCAGAATCTCCCATAAGAAGATGCTCGTTTTAAACTTTTGAACTCACTGTGACATTCGGCCACAGTTGTAAGCAAAAATTTGAGCACCCAAATTACAGGTTTGGTTGATTTTCTGAGTACAAAAAAGTTCAAATCCTCTACAGGGAACAAACAGACATTTTTACTGTGTTTTAGTGCTCAGTTTTAATAATATGGTGAGGTTAACATAATGGAAAAAATAACATTAAAACTGTACCATAACTTTTGCACAGGCCATAGTTTATGTTTTATTTTTTTCTATGTATTAAATTCAGCAAACATGCAGTAATTGTGCATTAAAATGTGCAGAAGTATGTTTTGTGTATAACTGTGTATCACTGATGCTACAGTGTTTAAACCAGACACAGTGGTTGGGGGGCGGGATGAAGAGAACAGAACATGATGCCACACCTTCTGTGGGAAAAAGGATGTAGATAAAGCGCTTTCCCAGCTATTGTTCTCTACTTTCTCAAGGCTTGTGCCGGACAGTCCTGCCAAGAGCCATCCATAACAAACACTGGCTGCTACAGCTGTTTGTAACTCACTGGCTGTGTGCACAGACAGATAGGCAGTATTAGGTTTAGTCTGGCCTGTTTGTACTGATCCAGCTCCATTATTTCCACTGAAACCAGTACAACACCTCAGAAAAACAACCAAACAAAAAAATAATAATAATCACATATATATATATATATATATATATATATATATATATATATATATATATATATATATATGTGATATATATATATATGTATATATATATATATATATATATATATATTGGCTGTCTGCTTTGTAATTTACATTTTACAGAACTTCAAATAAGTTAAGAGAATGTGTCTCAACAATGATCTCAAAAAGGGGAATTCCACCATTATTTCCATAATTCACCATTATCAAATTTCTTCAGAATTAAATCTTTAAGATGTAAACAAAGTTGTTCAGAGTCATTTGATGTGAAATGTGCCATTCTAGAGGAACTTACTGAGTCAGAACTGTTCACAGCGGTAGTGATAGGAACCAGACATCTAAGGTGTTTAATGGCCTCTAAAATGGCCTCCCTCACAGAAAGTTATTACATTATTTCATTCTGAGTTTCATACATAATGGTTACAAATACACTGCCTGATGCCTGAGACTTTTTAGGTCTAAAACATATTTTCTAAAAGCCATTTATGGTGGACAGTGGGGATGAGCGATATAGAAAAAATAGTAAATCACGATACCTAAATTTTAACAGTAAATGTTATATATAATCATACGACAAAATACGGAAGTAGTGACATATTTTAAAACTGCTATCAACGCTATGAATATAATGATTATTATTCAACGTTTAACATACTATACTGCACTAAATCCAATTAAACAGGATAAATTGTGCTCTTTTTGTAATTAAACATGCAGTTGGTCAGTGCTTCTTTAATTACTGACGATATCCATGATGTGCTCTGAAAAGTGTATTGTGTATAACAATAATGATCAGAATAATGACAAATCATTGTCATACTGTTCATCCCTAGCCTAGACTTCATGTAATAGAAATATGTACATATGTAACAGGTACATGAAAATAGAAAACATTTAAAATTTAGATTTACCACTTTTTCCATTATTAACATTACAAATAAAAATTCAGAAGACATGCAGTTTCACTGATTGTTTTGGATAGGAAATAAAACTGACATATTTGGATTGAAGACATTGTGACACCTGGTTCCTATCACCACCAGTGTAAAGAGTTTGATAGGTTACTCTAGAAGTGACCTATTTTGCATCAAAACACTTTAAATGATTTTGTTTACATCTCAACAATAGAATTATGCACTTTGAAAATTCCCCTTTAAGGCAACCAAGTTACTTAAAATTAAAGCAACAATAATTTTATCTCTGTCTTTTTTTTCACTATTGGTTACTATTTCGATGGCCTGTCCAAAACAGTGAGGCTAACGATAGAGGACACTTCTATGTAGAAAGACATTAGCCTAATGGGACTGATAGGTTCTATTAAAAAAACCTGAAAGGATGGCTGGAAATGTTGTTAAGAGTGGCTAAAAATACGACCAAGAATCGCTTACTGTAGTTCAGTCTGAAGAAACTCAAAATGAAAGAAACACAAAACTCCCTCAGCTTTTCTCAGCCACTTTCGCGCGCTCGTCAGGGTTTTGCACTAGCAGGTGCAGCACGCGCCTTAATTAAAAATAACAGAACTCCACCGCGCGACCTCTCCAAAAGCGATGAGAAGCTCGATTCACTTTACTAAACCGATTCTTTCGAACTGTCCATTCAACAACGCACTGATTCACAAGTCAATTCTTCTCTCCTCTGCACAATGACATTCAGAGCAGTGAATGTCTGATGTCAACTTACTAATGGAATCTCAAACTGCACAAAGCTAGAAATGGTATATATCAATGAGCATCAATTTTGGGCTAATATCAGAAAAAAAAAATGAATCAATCAATCAATTCAATTTTGTAACAAATCTATCCTGAAATAGCACTCACACTGTGCGATGTGACATTAGCTATGTACTTCTTATTGTCTGTAGTAGGGTTTTAGTAGTCTGGCCATGGTAGACAACTTTTAGATGATAATTTAAGCACTTCTCAATTTAAAAATGTTTATTTTAAAGCTTAGTAGTCGTTAAACAACAACAAAAGAAACAGATCTATATCTCTATGGGCCAGCACTCACGATTTCAAGGTTTCAATCGCTATCGGAAAAGAAAGTGTTGTTGAGCCACCTCTACACAAAGCACAAACACAGAAAACTGAAAGAGGGTAAGATGTGCTGAAAAATGACCATTAGGATTAAAACCCTATGGTTTTGCTTTCTAGTGGGAATTGGCTTAAGAGACCACTAGTTTCCTGTAGGACACCTTTAGATCCCTTTAGGAAACAATCAAGTGCATCTGGAATCAGTCTCTCAAAACACCTGTTAAACCATTAGTCCATTAGGCACTGTGATATCAACCCATCAGGAAAACATAAAATACCCCTACTGACTTGGACACCATCAGGAACCAACAGGAACTTTTAATGGTTTAGCAAGGTAGGCTACAAATGTAGCTAACTTCAAAGAGGGCACTCAAGCTACAGAGTGGTATTTTGTGTTATTCTTTTATGAAGATAAATTGTGAAAGACTGAAAGAAGTTGAAAAGTTCACTGGAAGTTCAAAACAGGTATTAACGCTATAGAGATGTGATTCAGTTGAATCGGTTCAGTGAAACGAACCGGTTCAAAAGAACGAGTCGTTCGCGTCGCTGCTCTCCAGCCAGAGACCGTTAGGTAAACAACTGTTAGCAGCTTTAAAACGGAAAAAAGTCTAGTTTAGCAGATGTTTACTTCTCACGGTCCCGTATATGGACAGGTTATGCAGAGTTAGCATTAGCGAAATGTTTATACCACAATATGAAGTTTAAACTTGCTGAATCCTTACATAAAGGCATCTGTATTCAGAAAAACACCTGCTAAGTCTATGAAGGTATAGGTAGTGGTGGCTAATTCTAATTTTCGTCGAACAGATAGTACCTGTAGCTATAAATAATCTTCATAGCCTCTGCTATTAGCCTTGTCCTTTGTCATGAAAGTTAGAGAGACTCGACAACTACGATTTTGCTCAGGGTAATTTCAGCTAATAACGTGGTTTCAAATTAAACCTTGGGTTCAAATTAGCTAGAGGTCAGTTTACTTAAAATGTCCAGTAAAACTCAGATTATTAGCTTGAAAACATCTTTTTTGTAACTCCAGCTTTATTTGTGTTCAGCATCAACGAAGGCGAATTTGGCTTCTTATTCCCCAGGTTCTTATTCGAATTTACCCCGTTCCACCTTAAATGGAACGAGGGGCCGTTACAGCAGTTACGTTCATGTATGGGAATAAATGGAACTGCTGCACCATTTAAGGTGGAACGGGGAAATTCGAAGAAGAAGCTGGCGAATAAGAGGCCAACTTCAGCCTCGGTCAGCATCCTCTGCTCAGTATTTCATAAAAGACTCACCTAGCACAAAAATAGTCCACAGCGTTCCTGTTTTCGTCCACATTTTGCCTCTGTTTCAGCGTTTCTTGGCTCTCAGAGTGTGAATGTCAGCCTGGTGAGGATTTTACACAGAAAAAAGGAAGAAAAAAAGTTCTGGATAAAAAGTTGAGGAGTCCCGCTGATGCTGTGAGGCGAGACGCCACTTCGTTCCGCTTATCTCCTCGAATCTGTATCTGAGGTTCTCTAAATGACTTTTCTGGTGCTTATTTTTGTGCTGAAAGCCAAGAATGCTTTTGTTAGCGGATCTCCTCTGAGTCTCTCTCCCCCTCCCTGGCTGGGGGGATTGGGGCTGAAGTGTTTGCTGGGTTTCCTTGGCTGCGCGGCGGTGGTGGTGGTGGTGAGCCGGCTGCTTTGGCTCTCTCTCTTCTCCTCACTGTTCAAACGGAGGCGACCTTTAGGACTGAAGCGGAGACGTGCTGCGTGCTGTCTAAGGGCAGAGTCTCTTTGGTCAGTCTGGTCAGGCCAGGGTGTGTTTTACGTCCGCTCACTTCGGCACTGCCCATGTGTGAAAGCTGTCACTGGTGAGTTGATGATGCCAAACTCTCCACAGACCCAATAGGAAACTCCTAAGTGGACCCTGCTGGCCACAGTGAACACTATTAATAAGTCCTTTCGACCCATGTGACCTGGATGCAGGGAGATATTCACCGTGGACTCCATCAGTCACCATGTCTGAAGATTTTCCTTCTTTTACTGCTTGGTGCTGTAACTTTATTTCCATATCAAATGCATACTGTCCATATGGAAGAAAAATGTATGCACTTATATTTCTCCATTTAAAAAATATTCAATGCAATGTATGTAATGTTTTAAAATATAGGTGCTAACTGGCTTAACCCTTGTGTGGTGTTCAGGTCTGTGGGACCCATTTTCAGTGTTTACCAAAAGAAAAAATGAAGTGATTTATTATTATTTCAACCTCAGATTCCTTGGCCTTTGCTAATTTTCTGTGAAGAACATAAAAAGTAACACATTTTCAGTGTCTTCACTCTGTTCACCCCCACACATTTATATTACACATGTGGTGTTGGCTGAACCCGCGGAGTAAAAGTGTGGAGGTGCTGTGTCCTTCACTCTGTTCTCCTACGTGGCCTGCTTTGTGTGTGTTTGTATATGTGTGTGTGTGTGTGGTATGGTAAAATGGTAACTTTACAGGAGAAGAAAAAAACATTCCTAACTTTGAATGGAAGTTAATGGAACTGGATTTTTTCCAAGTAGTTTTGGAGCATTTCTGTCCGTCCAGTTATTATAAAATTTTTGTGTGCTGTAAAAAGCAGCTGGCATTTTCAAATTCTGTAAAAAAGAACAAAATGATAAAAATGAAAATACAATGTTTTGATGCAGCAACAATATACAGAAAGATATTACAAACATATTTTTAAAACTATATGGAAATATACTTTCGATGCATAGGGGTTACATCATTAGGTGCTATACACTGACAGAAGTACATACATACATCATCTAAACCGCTTATCCTTCTGGGTCGCTGGAGCCTATCCCAGCTGTCATTGGGCGGAAGGCAGGATACATCCTGGACAGGTCACCAGTCCATCGCAGGGCAGACACACAGACATACACAGTCACGCCTAATTATGAAGTCAAGATTGGACTTGATTTTTGATATTATATGTGTTCAAATGTCTGTATTCCATTTCGCTCTAATTATATGCTGTACAGACTGGTTTAATAAAGTACCAGTTTGATTTAAAAACAAACACAGAGTTTCATTGTATAAACAGTGCAACTGAGCTATAAACAACACAAAAGTAGATAGGATGCGCTCAGATGCCGGGTTCTGATCACTGACAGTGGTTTCTGTACAAGGCAGCAGATGAGAGACACTCAGAAGAGACTGAGGGGCTCTGATGCATTGTTTCAAATGTTTTTATTTTTTTTTATACAGAATAAAATGTAGGTATGTAATATTTATGTGTCCATTTTGACATTCTTTCAGCTTGACCATCTGTCCTCTCCTGACTGTTGAGCAGCACATTTACTCACAGTCATATGCAAAAGTTTGGGAACTGCAGTCAAATGACATTTTGCTGATTTTCTACCAGAAAAAAGTTAACACATCCTCCACGGAGAACACACTTCTGCACATTACTGTGTATTTGCTGATGTGTAATAAATAGAAATTAGAAATGAGAAAATAGAAATTATCCACCTAAATTTGCTGGAAAATCTCATATTTTCCTTGTCACTTTTACCTAGAAAAGTAAGTAATTTGATTAAGGGTATTTAAAAATGTGCATACGACTGTAACTCGGAGGAGCCAGATCTTGGTCCTGATGATCTGCCTCCCTGTAGAGTTTAGCTCCAACTTTAATCTAATCCAGGTAACGAAGGCGTTCAGGAACATCTGAATATTAGAGTCAGGTGTGTAGGATCTCCAGGATGGTTTATCTCAAGGACCTGAGTTGTGCAACCCTGATCAAACAAACATGATTTACTGCGAGTTATGAGGAATGGCTGAGTAATATGGCTGCACTCGTGTGTTTATGTGTGACTTCCTCCACACATTGCTTCCCACAGTGCCCCACCACTTCATCCACACTTAGGCTGTAAGTTCTAAGTAGGAAAGCCTTCTTATTATAAAAGAAGTTTCAAGGCATCAGTGGGTTTATAATAAGCAGAGGCCCTAATGAATGGTAGGCTGATTAAGGCACAGCTGCTGCACTGTTTGCTGATCCTCATTTGGGGCTGAAGGCAAAATGTGATGATGTGCTCCCATTGTCATGGCAACTGGAGTCAACAAAGATTTCACAGTTTACCTCCTTTATCCCCTGAATTGCAGTGTTATTCAGTTATTAATCTTAAGATGTATTATTTAGTAACCGCTGTAAATGAAGTGCTATTAAAATACTCTGTAAGTTATGCAAATATGAGGGTTACTGAAGTGTAGGCCCACATATGGACCACTAGGTTTCATTTTTAGACCATAACTCTCATTTAAATACCAATCCAGAGTTCGGCAAATGCATTACATTCATCAAGTACTATACAGGAGATTTTTTGAAAAGAGTTCTGTGTAGCACCAAAAAGCGTTCTTCTATTGTTACAGGCTTGACATTTTAACAATAGAAGAACCCTTTTGGTGATATATATAGAACCAGCACATTCTCCATCAATCTGAAGAACACTTTAATGATGCAAACAACCCTTTAATCATGCGAAGGGTTCTTTGAATGTTCATGGTTCTGTATAGAACCATTTTCTTTACTAATGAACCCTTGCAGAACCATAATTTTTAAGTGTGTAAGAATGCGAAAAGTAAGGCAGATCAGGGCACATGCTAAAATGGATATTTTATTATTAGGTAGATTCAGGTAGAACATGCTTTTAATCACCTTCTTGTATTCTCATAGTATCACCTGTGGATTTTCAAAGCCTGCTATTTCTGAAGGTTCACACTGTTTTGTTTTTTTTTGTTTTTTTGTTGTTTTTTTTTACCATAAAAGTAATTTTTTACCGGTTTTTACTGTAAACATTTTTTTTTTAAGCTTTTTGAGTTGTGTATATAAGTCACAGAATTCACACCTATAGTATATTCTCTCCCACTTGGTGGCTGTAATATAGCACTGTTTTGAAGCATATAATCAATTCACAGTGAAAGCTCACAAGCTAAACTATGGCTTCCACACGGCAGGGTTAGCTGTAACTACGCCTCATAATTTAAACAACATATTCTCTTATATAAATTCCAACCTGTCAGTTTTTTGGAAGTCTGTATGTACAGGTTCATCAAAAGCATGCTATAGATATCATATAAGTAAAATGTATTTCAGATTAATGATGCTGTAATTACTATTCTATTTTGTGGCCAAAAATAAATTTGACACAGTCCCTTTTTATTAAACATATGTATTATATATATACATTGTTATATATTTAGGTTGGAAAGCTCATGTGGTTCAATTATATTGAATTAACCCTTGTGTGGTGTTGATGTGTTTGTTACTCAGTGATCTGGTGGATCCACTGCATTATTAGTTTTTTTAAATCAACACAGCCATAACAATTTATGTAAAAATACCAGATGTTTAAAATATCACAAGTGCCCAGTGTAGGGTTCTCCTTTAGCAGCTGTAGCCAGTCAACAACCTGTCCATGTTTTCCACCCTCTCTCTCACACACACATATACAAACACATACACACACATATACAAACACACACACAGACACACACACACACACACACACACACACACACTAACAGCAGGCTACGTAGGAGGACAACAGAGTGAAGGACACAGTACCTCCACACTTTTACTCCCCGTGGGTTCACCCAACACCACATGTGTAATATAAATGTGTAGGGGGTGAACAGTGCGAAGTCACTGAAAATGTGTTATTTTACATGTTCTTCACAGAAAATGAGGCCAATCTGAGGTTGAAATTTCAAATTTCTTTTGGTGAACATTGAAAATGGGTCCCACAGACCCCAACAACACAAGGGTTAAATGTGTTTTCCATCAATATATGAGACTTTTTAGTGACTTACATCTAGCCTCCATCTGGTATAATTAAGTCCACCAACAGGGTTAGTTGTACATTTCCACTAAACTGTTCATAAACAGTAGGTGGTGGAGGCAAAGTTTTCATTTGTAGCTGAGATGTGCAGGTTGCTTGTTTAAAAAATACTGTTACTCAAATACTATTAAGATTATTATACACAAATCAAAATGTGTATCCCCCTCTCCCTCCACTGGGATACCACCCCACATCTAATCAGAATCAGAAATGTGTGAATACCAGACCACCAATTCCATAAATCCAGAAATATAAAGTGTCCTCTGAGGCGGTTGGTCAACTGTAATTGGTGGAAAATAGATTCTTGGGAAGCAGGAGTTCAGATGACTATCAGAACTTTATTTTTTCAAGTCTTTTTGTTAAGTGTATAAGATCGGGGGCGATTCAAGGCCGTTTCTATTTTGGTCACAATAGAAAGGGCCCTCAGGTGATGTTCAACTTAATGCGATTGTTTTGGGGTGTGACCACAGCCCATGCTATTGAAGTTAGGCTGTGTACTTGTTATTAAGAGTGGAGGGGAAATGTTAGTTTGCATGGCAAACCGGTATGATAAACATATGGGTGTGGGTCTCTTTTCCTGGTCTCAGTGTGGCCAAAAATAGCAACTAAAATAGTCACTAATAGGCCACCAGCCTGCTCGCTCTGCTCTCTGACACAGATCCTGATGGGATTAAAAGATTTTGTCATTGTGAACCCCAAACACACATTTGTGGAGGCATTAGGCAGGTTTGTGTTTTTCTACCGGCTTCAGAGCAGATAAAAGGCCAAGATTGGCGTGACTCAAAAATGATTACTGGTGTATAACAGTTGTGGTTCAATTTATTTGGCTTTGGCTGTTTCCTACTTTATCTTTTATTGTGTGACATGAATACGATTACTGTTTGTGTCGAGTGTGTGACAGAACAGAGAGAGAGAGAGAGAACATAGAGTGATAGACAGTTGAACATGTGATCTCAGGAATTGTCCTGTTACTGGAATGCAGTGTTGACTTGTTCCCAAAGGTCCACAGTTCCTCAAAATCATCACA